TCCGGAGCAAGCACCGGATCTTCACGGATGGCCAAGACGGCTGCGACCCCAAGATGCTGGTAGCCACGGCTGCGATGAACAAGGAGGCTTTGCTTCCTCTTGTGCGTGCGATGGGCCGCACCCGGAGTTTGTTCAAGATCGCGGATGTGGAGGCTGAGTCACTCATTCAATATAGTTGGCACCATCATATATGCCTTTGGGGAATCATGACATTCTATATATAGAAGGTTTTCAGAAGAATACACAGAGTTATTTTTTATGCTGCCTTACATAAGATATCCTCGCTCTGTCGAAAAAACCACATCACAGGGTATTTCCGAACACATGTGTAGCTTTCTAGTGACTTCGGAAAATCCTCTGATCAGAAATCTTGTCTGAGGTTGCGGAAGTTTCATCATCTGGTGTGGCCGAATACCACGCATTCCCAAGCCGATGTGAAGAAGGATGCATGGTTGGCCAAGTCCTTCTGTGTATTCGTGAAGCGCAAGGTTTCCAAGGGTCTTCGCTGCCGAAATCCGGACTTCCGAGAGCTGATGAGGGTTTTGGAAACTTTGATTGATTCATTGGGAATCAGGTTTCGCCTCAAGTTTCCCAATCCACCCCAGTATTTTTCTTTCGATTTTATGGAAAGACTTTTCATTCATCTGACAACAATCAGACTTAGGAGGGTGAGGCTTCTTCCGACAGCGGCTCGGACAATGAAGGCTCCGGACCTGATGCTCCTGACGCTCCTGCTTCGGATAATGAGGTAAGCCCAGTGGATCCAGATGAGCTTGACAAGCTGCTGGATGAGGGGCTCGGCTCGATGGGGAGCCCTTGCGATCCTGCTGAAATCGAGGAGCTGCTTGCGAGCCCAGTGGCCGAGGCAGCTGCGGAGCCAAATGGATTGGTCGAGGCAGATGCAGAGTCGAATGCAGATGCGGAGCCAGATGGATTGGTCGAGACAGATGCAGAGTCGGATGCAGATGAGGAGCCAGTTCTGATGGGTGCCTCCAGCTCGGGCGACGCATTGGTTATTCTGGACGAGGAGGAGCAGCCCGTCATCCGCACGCCACGGCGCAACATCATGCCTGAGCTTGTGGAGGAGACGCCCGCGAAAGTTTCGCCGCCTGTCGGAACAGGCAAGGCCCATAACTTTAATGGGCCAGAACAGGATAAGGCGGGCAAGCTGGCCGAGTTGAAGGCCAAGATTTGCAAGCTGAAGGAGCTGCAGCGGAACAGGCTGCCTGGTCATGTTTGTGATGATGTCTTCAGAGTCTGATAAAAGTTTTTTTATTGATATATGTGCTTGAAAATGACCCTGGTCAGGGCTATGACGGCTGTGAGCCTGAAAGACCGAGCTCGGGCGAAGGCCGCCCAAGGACCATTCCGATGTGCTTCATTTGGTGTTTTCTGTATATAGAAGCATAGGGTTGACAGCTCATTCGGTTTGACACTCTAGGTGCGATACCCCCATAAAGTCATTCAAAGCCACATTTGAAAGGAGACGTTGAAGCTCGAAAAGTTTGCTCCATTTTGGGTTTCGACGATGAGAGTGCCGCTTCTGGATCTCGGGGCCTGCCCGAGGATGACACCCAGGTTGCAGATGAGAACATGATGGATGAAATCGCCGAGAAATTTCGCAAGGATGCCTCCACGGTGGACCTGGACTCGAGTCCGGAAAAGGATTCTTCTGAGGTGGTTTCATGGCTCAGTTTGTATATCTACATCTATATATATTTATATTTATATTTATTCATTTATTTATTTTACAAGTATCTTTGCATGTAGATTAACCGAGATCTATCAATCCTTTTTTCACTCTCTCTCTCTCTATCTATCTATATATATGTATATATATATATATATTAAACATGCGTAATATATTACAAAGTTATGTATGCTAATTCATATATATATATATATATGTATGTATGTATGTATGTATGTATGTATGTATGTATGTATGTACACATGACTTTGTATTGTGTTGTGTATGTATACATATATATATGTATATATATATATATGTAGTGTGTATTGTGACCAGTGTGTTGAAGTATTTTGTAGGTATGCATTCACACATGTATGTAGGTATGCATGCATG